CCATATGAGATCACCTACAAGGGTTAACACATGTTCGAAAATTTCGTTTGCGATTTTGTTAGTCAGTTAGCGCATTATGGCAAAACATACCTCACGGACGAAAAATGTCTTTACGATTTTTTTACGACATAAGCTTCACCTCGGTCGTTAAACTTTAATTTATGATAAAAAGAGTTACTTGAGGCCCAAGTGAGGAAAAGTAAGGTATGTACAACGTATTAACGTACAAATAGCTAATAGTTTCATCTTGCCAATTGCTTGAAGGTGCGGCGATATTCTGCAAAGACCGCACCGAACTACTAAAAAAATAACAATAAACAACAAACTGTTAACCCTTCAACATAATGGTTGTTACGTAAGTATAATGACTGTTTAGTCACACCGTGCGGATATATGCCTCAGTACGGAGATATGCTCACGTGTTTTACGACACAAGCACGTGATGTAAACACGCACGATAGTTCCTCAACTTTCTCTTTACCTTTTAAGCTTTTCTCTCGGGAAACTGAGTAGTTTAAGATGTTTACTGATTATGTTTTGCGATGTATTGTCTTTAGGTCTCGTTGTTTTATGTGTGGTTGTGTAACATTGACTGCGGATGTTGCAATATACTTGTAGCATCTCAAGTCTTCTTCGGGTGTTTAACATTTCGGTGCTGAGAGGGATTTGATGGTGGTATGTTTTGGTGCGTGGAATTGTAAAAGGCGTTACTGCGAAAAAAACTGTTTTAAGAATAAGTCAAAGCTAGCACTGTTAAGAAAAACTAAGCAAAATTAGGCATATTATTCAAGAAAGATGAGGTTCCAAAAATGGGTTTCTTGGATGCATAGATCAAGTATTGTTCTCCCTTATTTCTTTTGTTGGTTTTAACATCGGAGGTTAAAACAGAACAAATAACATATTTTCTAAGTCAAACGAATTTCAAGAAATGAACGGTAAAAAAGCATTTTCTACATTTTCTGGACATAATTAATACTATATAACATTAGATTTTACGACACCGACTTTGTTAAAGTGTAATCTAAGATGAGTTGATAATAGCAATACAATAGGTATTGAATAAACGAGTTGACAGATTTGTTTCTGACTAAGATAATCTGACTTTTTCTAAAGATCGAACTGGTGATATTCTTATTACTTATAATCAGAAATAATCCGCTCAACTACGACCTGCTAAAAGCGTATTTAACAAATTTAAAATATGACATTCTTCTTTTGTCTTCAGTTGAACTGTTGTGAAATTTAGTGATAGCTGAAGAAAGCTTTTCTGGACACATCAACACACGCATATAGTCTGTGTAATGGAACCCGTCTCCTGAACCTTCTATTATTTGGAGACTGGTATAGTCCCAGAGACGTAGGGTCACGATACAGGTCCCATCATACAGACTATACACCATCTTCAAATTTTACTACTGGATGAGAAGTACACTAAACGCAAATTCATAATACACACATGGCTAACAATGACAATTCCAACAACTTTGATGTAATTACTAAAAACAACAAAAACTGAGGGTAATTGAGCGAAACCATCGGTTACAGAGTTGAGTGCCGGAACAGATGTTTTGCATATGTTTACTCTATGTCCTGCGTGTTCTATGTTTACTCTATGTGTTCAGTGCTTGTGTAACCTCTATGTCACTATCAATGTCACCTTCATCGTGTTAGTTCCGGTAGGACTATTTCCGTTTTGGATGCACGGTGTGATGCTCTGGTCTTCCAATAGGTTAGATCCAATTCAACAAAATACAAACATAGACTTTCCAAAACAAGTAAACTCTTCTCATCACATTGTAAATTTGGAAGCTTGTTTTTCATGTTTAGTTCATGTTGGTGACACTGAACGAGTCGATGAAGTTTTGTTTATAGGCTATTAATTTAGGAATAATTTTTTTCACTTTTTTTTGTTTATGTATATTTAAAGGAGCATGCAATTATAAGCATGCTGTTTATAATTATATCGTAAAGTTGTCACTTTTCTAATTATTTCTCACACTTATTTACAAAATTACAAACCTCCAGCATTCTGTGCCCCAATTCCATTCCTACACGGATTGCTTTGACCTAGAACCAATTCAAAGGATATTGCACTGAGTCATTACTCATCTAAAAAAAATAATAAGTGAAGTTCCATTGGAGCTATCACTGATTGGCGCCGCGTTAGACACGGTAGATGCTGAGCAACTCGAGCCTGTGTCTCTGGGTGTCAACTGCTTGCTCAATACTCCGTGGATAATCCAGAGGCTTCCGCCCCCGTGGCTCCGGTGCGCGGCGTTGCTCCGAAACACATAACTTCGAAAAAATGCAACTCTGAGGCACTGCTTCGAAAACCGAGCAATGCTCCGAAAATGTGTTGCTCAGTGATTCGCCCCATATTCATATTTTAGATGCAACCCAATACTAAAGACATAAAAATCTTATATTATTTTTTGGAATAAATAAACTCAGATGTAGTATCGAATAGTTACGAAATAAAATAATTTTGATTGCAATTATAACTGTCCAACCACGAAGCAGACGCTATTATTAATTCGTTCCAAGACATGATTTGCACCGATTGCTGTGAGAAATGGCGCCCAATGTTGCACAATTAGGTTAGGTTATTTCAAAGGAACTGTCGTTGATGATTTTGGTGACAGTGACAAATTGATGATTTCGTCGAAGATATTTCCCGTGAATTATGTTAAGTGTGTACTGTACAAAGAATGGAGGGGACAACTTACAGTGACAAACAAAATACTTTCAAACTATTGCTTGCCCTAAATAATTAATTTACGAATGAAAAAACTGCAAGATACGAGGTAAAAGTAAACGATTATTAGTAGTTGATTTCAGGGCACTATATAGTAACATCACATAAAACGCACCACACAGGCTTATGATATTACGTTGATAAGAAGTCTATTTGCAGTGGTAATGTATGAGGGTTTTATGAGTTTTTTCTTGGGAATTTCCCAAGTGGTTCAGGAGATATTCCATTCAAATGTTTCTACGGTTTGCATCAAAATCACTGATAATAATCAAAGTTTACCGAACAGTTAACTCAATTTTGTTGAGGGGGGATATAACAAATTGACTATTGGATACTAATAGTGTACTGAGCAGAAAGACTTCATTTGGTTCTTAGCTTGATATTTGATATGTAATATTTTCATTTGTCACTTTTATTCTTTATTTAATTTTTTGTTCAAAAGTATCTCAATGCTATAAAGAAAGTTCCATAAAAATAAAACAATTTTTTTATTTTAACGTCAAACAAAAGCACTTTCAATTTCTGAAAAAAATTTCAAAATTTACTTTTTATAAAAGTATGTGATTTTTCCTCAGGCAAGTGCTTCTCTTACATCAAACAAACAATCTTTGTACGGTCAAACTAACTGACATCCCTTTCCATCCGTAGCATCTTCTTATGGCACTTACAAGTCAATTATCTCCTATATCTACACTACAGTTGTGTAACCGACCACTTGCAGTTTCCATGGTTACAGAGTTTCCCAGTTTCCTGCAGCTCTGCAGCGCGCAGTCAGTTTCCAGTCGTCAGCTGTTTGCAGAGTGCAGAGTTCCGAAAGCCGTAAACCATAATTGCCGCATTGTAGCAACCAGAGGTCGCGTCAACGCTCGGGTCGACAACCTTACACTGCTCGATTTCGACAGTGAACATGCTCGAAATGTTTTCACGCTGTAAACGCACTCAATGGGTTGAGTTTGAAAGATGGTTATCATGTAAGAAAATCCTGTGTAAAAAACCTTGCTGCATATGATATATGAAACTTTAGGATACTATTTCTTTTTGCAATGGAACGGTCCAACCCCTTTTTTACTCACGTCGAGCTTTTGTTTGACAGCATAATATTTTGTTAGTCCAATGTCACCTGTTGAACTACAATTAAAACATTACTTTAACCATGGGAAAACATTAGCCGTCCTATTCCTATAACGCTTTTAAAGATGTATTTATGCCGTAATTATTTCCATAAAATGTGACAAAACATCTTGGAGATGCCGGGGATCGAACCCGGGGCCTTTCACATGCAAAGCGAACGCTCTACCACTGAGCTACATCCCCACATGGTGCTGAATCAGCTATAAGCTGACCCGGCCGGTTTAAGCTAGGAAAACTAGGCCAATGAAAACTAACCTCTCTCAAGAAAAAGCAATAGTGATAAAAATCATCTTCGTGTTTTGGATAGCATCTCCCGCATCTCGGTTACCTCGCATAGGACGGTTATCATTCCCTACTTTTCATACTCTTCTGTGTACTTTATTTTACTATTCAACTATTAATTGGTCAACGGCAAAAACTCTGTCCTGACAAAAGCTTTGGGTGAAATCTGCAATATTATTACGCGTTTTTTTTTCAACGATGTACATTGAGGAAAGTTAAACAGCGATTAAACATAAATCAGGAATAGTTTGAACGTAATTGGAAAATGTAAGTCCGCGTTATTCATTTTAAGGTACAACAGGTTGAAGGTAAAACTTTTTATACGATTAAGCCTAAAACTAAATAATACATAGATAGTCACCTGGATTATTTGTATTTAACAAAATAAATATATTTTTCTCTCTTTAGTCTTGTGAATGACATAAAACAGTCAAAACATAATAATTACTCGTATATTTGAGCCTATTCGGGATTGTATAAAAAAATAATAATGGTTCTTGCTAAAACAGCTGATCTTAGTAAGTAACAAGGCTTTACAGATAATCTTACTCCATTCTACACTCATCCTTCACTCATATTCGCTTTTAAATACTCACGACAATTACTTAAAGGATTTAATAGAATTAAATTCTGGTTAAGTACCAAAAATTACATTTCCCATTGGTAATTCTAAAAATAGCACAATTCCCACGACTCCATCTGTTACTGCCGGTTACTGCACAACAATACAGGTTAATATCATTGTTGTGTCAGCTGGTACGACACTGGCGCTGCATGTGGCGAGTACGTTGAACTACCGTCTCGACGCGCGCATGCAATGTGTATTGTTGGTAGGCGCAGCGCGCTTCTGGTCGGTTGGTCGGTTACTTCAGTTGGTGTTGTGACTTTGGATCGGGCGAAAGTAGAAGTAGAGCTACGCTCGCATAGTCGCGATGCCGGTATGTAAACAATTCTAAATTTATTTTGATTTTGTTTAAAAGTTGATTATGGTTTGGGATTCGGTTCTGTGATTGAAAATTGGGTTTCCGTTTGACAATCTTTCACATGATTTGACTAGTGAGACATTTGTAGAACATGGACCTTCTTTTGACAAAAATTCAGATACATTTAATTATTACTACTATATAATTTGGTTAAGTTGTAAGAGTGACTACTAAATAGTTTCAGTGCCTGCATGTAAATATTTATAAAACATGTTTATGTTTACCTTGATGACTTGATAGTCTGTTTACAATATTATGTTTGATTCGAAAGACAGGAGTTTTTTTTATTTTTATTTGATTTAATATATAATTTTAAAATTATTGAGGAATATAAAATTAACTACCTTACAGTGTGTTGACATTTTTAAAGAATTTATTAAATCTTGATCGTAACAGAGGCGGTGTTTTAAAATAAACAAAAAATATTATATATGTGTTGTTCTGAAGTTAGTTAAGGTTTGGGAATAGCCAAGGCAATATGATTAGAAAATAGGTTTATCTTTGATATACTTGGTTGGATTCGAAGTAAACCCCTTTTTTGATTGTCCGCAGCAAGGACAATCTAGATTTTTGACAAAAATATACACATTGAAAATGAACTTCTTTATCTTGCAACATTTTGAAGATATGCAATTGAAATTTATACAGTGTATTTAATCATTTCTATTGGTACGACAAATCCTGTGTTAAGACGGTATTAGTAGTAAATAATCATAGATGAGTGAGATTTGAAGTTATTACCACAAATAAGAAAACAACATGTTGACATTTAAAGAAGGTATAGTTATCCCTAAACAAATTTAGCCTACGGAAATACGCTGTCATTAGTGCTTGTGGAAGATGTTAAAAATAATCTTTGATTATCCTGGGACATTTAGTGTCTTATATTAGTACAGGGAAATCCTTTTTGGTAGACAAATGTGAGGAACTTTAGGCGATAAAAACGCAGAAAAACACTTTTCCATGACAAATAAATATCTTATTATTTTTTAATCAGACATGCTTGTAAAAAACAAATTGTTTACTACAGTTTCAAGATTTTCACACAGAATACCTTACCGTTCAGTGTTGTTATAGCGTGACGTTACATTGGGCTGACCAACAATTACCTTTCCAACAAAAGGTTGAGCAAGTTAGTTGGTTTAGACCCTTAAAAAATGTTAAATCTGTAAAATAACGTTGAAAGACACACAAAATGAAGAGCCAATGTAATTGTAAATTACCAATCTAAATCGTCTTTAGTACTTCATTTCATAGTATGCCGTCATTTCGACACCATTTCGGGTCATCTTCGTATTAAGCAAATATAAATTGTTATGATAAAAATTGATGACACAAACAAAGATTTAAAATACAGTACTAATTTTATAAGTACTTTGTTATGGTTAAAGCGTAGCAAATTTCCTAATTAAATTCTGTATTTTTGCATCCACAATGTATTTTTGCGTTTATGTATAGTAACGCATTAATGTCCTTATTTCTCAGTGTTTCATGGAAAAGACAATAGCACCTTAAGGAAAATGTAAACCGGAATAAAGTGTTCAATGGTGAGGTTGAGGTAGTATTTTTAACTACTTTTCATTTTCTTAACTTTGAATTATAGGGCTACCTTAGGACTATGCCCCATAGATCTATAAGATTTTTTTAGTTTATTCATTGGATATAACATATGTACCAACACAATCCGGGTGACATTTAATTGCAAAGCATTTGCTTTGGCTTAAAACTATCAGATGCATTTGCGAAGGTTTATACAATCAAGATGTTTCATTCCCTCCAAGATCGTTCACTCCAAAAGGTTTAACAAATTATTTGCTTGTTCGTTCGCTCCAATGTTCATTCAATCCAATGGGTACCAGTCAGCTCTAGAAGTAGACTAACCAGTAGAATATATTAATTTTGAATTTTACTCTACATTGAATGTCATATAGTTTTGTCAGCAAGTCTGGAAATATGCAAACCAACTGCTGTTCTGGATATAAGAAGGTTTCAACTGACTACAAGGTCCCCGTGCGTACAGCTAGTGACTGATAAATCACTTGTCGATCGAATTGTATGTTCAGGTGGTCGACTGGTCCTTACCCTGTTGTTTCATCCATAGTTTATTAGGTGCTTTCACCCCAATGTAAACAACCGCTACCGCCAGCAGGGTGAATGGCCTTCCGATACTTCCTACTTCCTAGTCGATAATTTGATCCATAGTATCCACAAAGTAATGTTCACAGTTGTCTAAGTCCCACCATGAAGTTCTAGGACACTAGTGTCTAGCCTGGAACCGTTATACATATTAGTTCAATCTAGGCTTGGACGGTTCCTGTATCATATATTGGCGATTGGCGGGATCTGAACCCGGAGCCCCGGGAATGAAGCCTTGCGCTATACCACTAAAAAACTTGCCGTGTGTCCCAGTTTCATATTAGTACGGGACCACATTTGGTTATGGATAGTCTTTATATAAAAGTCTTAACTCACAGTGTTTAAAACGAAGGGAATAAACGTGTGACTGAGATACGAAAAATATAATTATAACCTTATACACAGTTTGTAAAATGTCCTCAAGAATTACCTCAAACTATACAGATTGAAGTAAAACAAGAGTTAACAAAATATGAGCTAAATAGTTTAGAAGTTAATGTGTGTTATTTTACAGCTAATAGGATGTGTATTTATTTATGACTGAGTGACACTAACTGCATTGCTTTATTTCCGCATGAATAATAACAGACAAATAGGCTATTACAATTTATTGTAATTGCAATATATTTCTAGGGTTTTCATAAAAATGAATCATAATATGCTGTGTGAATCGAACGACTTAGGAAAAGTACGGAAAATTCTTTACATCCAGTGCATTCATATATAAATAAGTAGTTAACACGCAAATCATTATTAGGCTACTCAATTTCAAGGCAGCCATAACATTTACGTTATGAAAATCAAATCCCTAAATCAACGGTTGTCGAAATGGAATTCCCTATGCTCAAACAACAAACTATCACTGCAGTGGTAAAAAGTAGAGATAAACCTTGAAGAAAATAGGTTCTTTACGACACTGAGTTGCTAAGATATGTTTTCACATCCAGAAAAAAGTCATATGAAAAACTGTAACTTGTCTGTCTGACGCAATTGATTTTATATGATGCATGAGGTAAGGAGGATTTGCCTCTAACTGCACGATTATACGTGTTGACGCTAAAATGTCTTAACAGCAGGTGTGATTAAAATCGTGCCGACTCATGTTCTGTGGACGCATGTTCGGATGTTAAGCTATTGCGGAATGAAATAGGTCTACTCAAGTTTGTTTAACATTTACTTTGTTTTCTTCTTTTAAAATACAAAATTAAAAAAAAAAACATAGGCCTACATGTACCGTACAACAAAACTTTAATTTTAATAATTCGTTCCGCGGAGAAAGCCATGGTAAGGAAAGGGCTCTTTAGGTTTGTTCCGTAGCCTGTGGCAGATTAAAATGAGTATTATTTATGTTGTTTATTTTCGTACGTCTTTATAATCTGCTACTTGATGTTTCAGAACTCAGGATGTGTGCCTTTAGATGACGGAATGGAGAAACCAGCAGCTAAAAGTGAGTGGTCAAACATTTAAATATACAGTACTTTCAATAATGAAATATAGTTGTTATAATTACATAAAATTTGACTACGAGATTATTTTGTGACCGAGGAATATCACAAACAAATGTAAAATACCCTCTCATACAGCAAACCTGCAGACGAAGCGAATTTCCATTTGTGTAGTTGGATTTTTAAATAATTTCCATCAAAAACTGCAAAATTAATACCATATTTAAATTATTCTGCTACGGGAAAGGGAAAATGTGTTTTTTGATCAAATGCACTATAAATAGTGTAGAACGGGGAAAAAATTGATAACAATTTATCCTGAAAAAAAAACTTCAAAAAGTTTACTTTTTCCAATAATTTGAATATCATGGGGATTATGATGTAGCCAGAGAGCACAGGATGTAGCCTACAGTTTTTTGAACTTTATTTGTAACCTTTAACAGTAGCCTACAACAAAGATTCAAGATACAAAAAATTGTGTTTTTAGCGTTGTGTAAAAATAAAAAAATATTACAAATTTCAAAACCCTATAACATAATAACTTTGTTCCCATAACCTAAACTTGTTGGTTCGCTAACTCAATGTAGCGTTTTCAGACCTACAAATGCCAAATTTCATCAAAATCGGACTAAAATTACTCGTTATCGTGTCAGTCTAGCTAGTTACAAAGGCCTACATATAGACGCACACATACAAAATTTAACTAGTGTTTTCGGCATGTTGGACATCAAAATAAAAAAGTAAATAGGATTTCGGTCTAATCGTGCCACCCGGTAATGACTACTTCCCTATAGGGAAATTCGCTAAAATGTCCCAGAGATTCCCTCTCAACTCAACCCTAACATTCCTCCAGTTTCACAACCTGATCGCTCCCACATGTACCGCTCCGAGGGCACACAGACAGGCTTTGTATTGTGTATTGTGTATTGTATACCGTGGCGAATGTATTGTGAAACGTGCGTGGTCACGTGACTGTATGTCAGGTCAGAACGACTGGTTGACCAACAGACATCGAGGCGATGGAATACAAGTGGGTGGATGACCACGTGGTGTGAGTTAATAGTTTCTTTTTAAAGTAATTCAGGGTGTTTTGTAATAAATTGGCTGTATACGTTGAAAGTTATTGAAAAATAAACTGTATCAACAATCCAGAGATTTTTAAATTCTTGATTTTCACAAAAATATCTTGATAAAAACCTACAAATTAACGGAAAATCGGATTTTCATGAAAACGGCTTAGATGATTTTGATTGAAAATTATTATTTTTTTTTAGTCCTCCAGTCCTTCATACTCTAAACACAATGGTACAACTTCCAATGCTGTATAAATTACGGTTCAAAAGTTATTGCAACTCTCGTGGTTTTCCCCATAAAATGTCATATTTACTCACTTACTACTATACTTACCTACTCTAAACTCTTACTACTTAATACTTACTACCTACTACTATACTCTACTTATACTTACTACTTACATCGTAAGGGTTGTTGACAAGCTACTGGGGGCAAGTGTCCGCTTACAGGTACAGTTTATTTTGACTAGTATAAAAACTATGCTTGTGACAAATAGACCTCAAAAGAGTAGGGTTTTGGCTGTTATCTTTACAAAAAATAAATATTAAATGTTTCTAGGGTTCTAACAAACCGTTGCTCTGTTGATATCGAACCTAACCTTCATCATACTTTCGTATATCACTCATGCATTCAGATGACAACCGTTCCGTGATGGAAATTAATTAAAGAGGAGAAGAAGAACTACAACTTTGCATAAAGATAATGTTGAAGTCATTAACAGATGCGCTTTTGGGACAGTTGTGACTAGGTCTAGTATTGATATTGTAAGGGAAGAGTAGAGCAAAAATAGAAAAATGTGATCGAAAATGGAGACAATTATTTTTATTTTATTCCAGTGTATTTGTTGTCGACCTGCCTACTCCCTTCGCCAAATTAAGAGACATAAAACCCAGTTTTAGATTTTATAATGACATACGAGCACTGTTCAAAGTTAATGGAAGTACATTCATATATCTACTATATATTTATCGTTACTTTTCTGCTATAACGATTGTCCTCACATGGATTGTCGGTAGCTTAGGCCAGGTTAAGTATATTCGCGACAATAAGCATACTAACATGACCTAACCTATATTAAACCGACATATTTTCACTCAGAAGTAACCACTTATAGACGTTGAAACTGTTTTCAGATTTTGAAATGTTATCATTTCCCAAGATCTAAAGTGAAGGGTGATACCAATTGAGCCATTTTCGTGCATTGCGCACAATTTCGCAGCGCAATCAACGGATCTAGAACACAGTTTGTGAAAGAGGAAATTAGACCATCAAAAACCATAATTTTGAAATCAATCTCAAATCTGTACATGCCGTTTTGTGGTCTTGCAATGAACAACTGTTGCCAAGATGATGTAAATGATGAATGACGAAAAGTACGTCAGTATACAAGAAATGATGCAGTTTTTAGGGATTAAAACATACAGCCATCAGTTTCATTTGATTCAAGAACTTCTTAATTAAATTACCTTATGTTTTGTTGGTTGCCTTCAGTTCTTGAATATTAGTTTCCTGATGCACATTTTGCCACGAGGTGTGGCATATTTAGAGGTCAATAACTTTTTGAGTCACTTATGTAGTATATTACATATATTAGGATATGATAAATTAGATGTAAAGGCAAAAAAAGGTAATTTAATTTTAAATTAATGGTATGATTATAATACAAACTAATAATAATTTGTATGCATCAAATAGAGCCAAGACGAAATTAAAAACCGATAATGAAAATTCCAAATTCACAAATAGTTTCACCTCAAATAGTTTCACTAATAGGTGACCCACAAACTTTTAGAACATCGGCATGAACTATTTTAAAATCCCATTAATCATAGCCTCCTCAACGCTGCAGTCCCATACTACTGTAACAGCTGTTGCGCTGATTCCTATGGAGCGTCTGCTATAACCATGACAAAATACGCCGGCGGTGCGACGTTGCCACACACTAACAGAAACGTGAGTGACTTCTTGTCAAAGCCGTTGTTTTGGCTCAGTTTTGGAGTGAACCAGCCAACTGTTACAAGGTAGTACTTGTAACATAATTCTTAGTTATATTTTCAACCTTATTGCCTAACACCACTGTCACAATAAAGCGTAATTAATTAAGACAATGTAGAATGTGTGTCACTTATCATAGTCAATTGCTTGAATGTCAAGTACAATTACAATAAGTTTGCTAAAAACACGTGTTTAGTTCTTGCGATTATTGCTGTTTGCACGCCAAGTAACCAGTGTACAAGTTGGAGTAGACAATTGGTTAATTAGTAGTTTTTATTGGAGCATGAGTAAGCCTCAAAGTAGTGCATCAAACTGCCCATATTAAACGCTTTAATAAAATAAACTGTATCAGAAATGCGAAACATACATTCTCCCATTAGCTTGTCAACAACCCTTATCATGAGTTGAGATTAACTGTGTTATTTTATGAGGAAAATCACAAAAGCTGCAATGAATCTTGAATCGTAATGTTTATTGCATGTTATACCACTTGGTTATCATAATCGTTTGAGCCCTTTGTGTAAAAATAATATTTTTCAATTGTAATGAGTATTTCTGGAAGAATCACAGCAAAAATAAATAAATCCAAAAAATGAAAAAAATGCTAGGAGATACAACGGAGTACTCCCAACCCAATTTAATCAAAAATAAAACTTTAAGATTTCGACGAACCAATACTTTCTCTATACACAATGTATAGCGGTGAAAATAAAAATTATCAATTTGTAACGAGACAGACAAAATCTGTTTCAAGTAACCTCAAATTGGCATCAGGTCAAAACATTCTAAAAATAAATCGTGACTCTGAAATAGTTTGCGATTGCAGTTCTTACCTTCGATGCAATTCGTAGTGACATGTTATTTTTGTGACCTTTATCATCACTATTTATATTGTCCATGATATTGATCTAATAAACAATGACAACATTTGGACGCAAAAATCTGACCAATATTCCTCTTGTGAGCAAATTAGCCTAGACTATTGTCAATCCTATTCCTAGCCTATTTGTTGACGTAATGTTGATGATAAAGCTGTATTCAGTACATTGTCTCACATAGTATTTTTTTATAGAAAAATTAATTTACTAAACTGTAGGTTTCTTCTTAATATGCTTATACAATTCGTGAAGTTTTTGATTTTATGGTAGAACTTCAAAGTTAAAAACTGTATGAATTGTGTGTTCCTTGTAACAGCAACAAACTCAAGCAACCTTCGAACATATAATATTGAACTAATGCGGAACCAAACATAAATTTCATTTTAGGACCTGTTTTAACGTATTTTTTAGAACACAGTATCAGTATAAAATAATTGTAATTGTATGCTTTTTAATTGTGTACGAAGATTAAAAGTAAATGGAGAAGCGGGTTTTTTCTTTAATACAATTTGATATGGAACCTTTCTTGATAATAAAAATAACTTTTTATCGGAACAATCTTTAGTTTAAACTGACTGAAGACACAGAAAACATACTACTATAACCTCGAATTACTCTTGATTGGTTATAGTAGTATTTTTTCTGTGCTGAATCAGACAACCTTCCTCCTGAGTCTTAGAACAACCTCAGTCGAGTGGTGTTTCGGCTCCCTGGACTGGAACATCAAACAACAATCATCTTCAACTAATTTTCCTACAATTCCCTCATCTTCGTCTTTTCCCTACTTGATCAACTCGTTGACCAAACATCACCTCATGATACCAAATGATCAATCATAACGGTTCCTTGTTAAATGACTCGATCGTTAATCGTACATCGAGGATATCCCGTAACCTACATTCCTATGAGATGTACAATGCTAGATGCAACACCTCTATCATTACAATGTCCCAATCGGAATAGAAAGTCCTCATTGGGATGTCATTAGGAATTGAAGTGGTAAAAGTTAAGTTTTGAAACGATACTAATTGCAGCGGTTTCAAAATTCCATTAGA